TCCCCCACTGCCCCTTCCCCCAATTCTCCATCCCCTTCCCTCTTGGTCTCGGAGGACCCCGTCCAAGCCCGACCTATCTCGGCCCGCAACCCCCGCGAGACCGTCGGTGCCACTCCCTGCCCATGTGGGCCCCTTCGGTCTGCCCACGCCTGTACCCCAGCTCCCGGTTCGGCTGGGCTTTCCCCTCGCCGGGGGTGGCTTTCTGAGCCGCCCGCTTGGTGCCCCTCTCTGCAGCCTCTCCTGCCACTCGGGGCCCCCGTTCCCCCTCCCCTGCCCCCGGGGGGCTGGCGGAGTTGGGCCGCGGGGGCCCCGGGGCCGGCGGTGCCGGGGTCATCGGGATGATGCGGACGCAGTGTCTGCTGGGGTTACGCACGTTCGTGGCCTTCGCCGCCAAGCTTTGGAGCTTCTTCATTTATCTTTTGCGGAGGCAGATCCGCACGGTGAGCCTGGAGGGGCGCTGGTGGTGGTGGTGGGGACGTCTGTCAGCGGCGTTCACGGGTTTTTGGAAAGTGTCGGGCCTCAGGGCCTAGAAACAGTCCTGGCGGCGACTTCTTCCCCTAGAGAACTAGGGCACCTTTAACTGGGCATGGGATGGGATCGGGAGGAGGGAGACCCTTGTAGTAGAACCAAGATTGGGTGGGGTGACCTAGACAGAGACAGGATTTTGCAACTCTTGGGGGCTAGGGTGGTGGGTGGGGCGCTCTGAAGAAAGCCGAAGTTGTTACTAAAGAAACCGAGAGAAGGGGAACACCTGTTTGATGGCAGCAGATCTACTGATGTGGGCTTGTGAAAGACTGATGTTAGTCCCTCCATGTGTATTTGGTCTTATAAAAGGGGAGAGACAGGCCTATGTGTCAAGATGAGGGTCAGTGGGAGGGCATATGTGACAGACAAGGATGGGAACTTGGGAAAAGCCCTGAGTGTGAAGGAGAAACTCCTGCGGTTTGCATTAAGGGAACTCTTCCAAAAAGGCCCTAAAAACTTAATACTGTGAGTGTGGGTATCTGGATTTATTGAGACCCTGTGACTAAGATGCTTTTATGTTGGGCTTCTTTAGTTGTGGAAGGGAGCACATCAAAGTTTGGGTGGCCCTATCAGAGGAAGATGTTTGTAAGTTGTAGGCTTGAATCTGAGGGCACGCTCCTTTCTCCAGGACATCCTAGCATTCATTATGAGGGATACTGTAGTCAGTGAAGACTATGTGCATGTACTCAAGTATCTCTGGGTTTCCTCCCGTATAACTTTTTTCCAAGGTCAAGGCTCCTTAAGGCTAACATCGTTTAATGAATGGTCTCTTGTATTCTCATCATCACTGGGGAGAATCCTCTGAAGGAGTGTAGGGAGAATTCAGTGAGCTAGGTGCAGAGGTTCTCAGGTCTGTACTCTTTGGCATACCTCAGTAAAACTTGAAAAAATAAAACCAGGTAGGGGTTGCCTAGGTCAAGGAATTTCCAGAAAGCGCTGGGTGGTAGTGGTGGTGGACTTAATGACTTGGGAGAATGGGCCTGGCCTTTTACCATTCCACTTCTTCCACTTCATGATTTAGGGTAAGGATTGTTCTGGGTGGTCATGGTTGTAGTTAGGGCTCTTTACCTGAGATAAGAGTTAGGAGCCAAGAAGAATTTGAGGTCAGAGATGCTGAGATGTGTGTGGGGCTGTCTCCTGGGATTTTTACTTGTTAGCGTCCATCCTCTATCTGGCCTTGCTCCGAGCATCCCACCTTCTCCCTCCAGCACATCACTTTTCTGTTCTGGGTCCAGGGAATAGTGCTCCAGCCCATCCAGAGGCTCGTTGCTCTCCTCTGGATGGCACTGACCCTACAGCCTTTTGTCTTCTCTTCCTTTCCAATCTGGTTTCTCCCCCAACCCCACCCTTTCTGGCAGATGCTTGAAGCATTCCCTACATGCCCAGCATGTGCAACCCGAGATAGCAGGGCAGGACACCAGAGCTGTTGCAGCCCTCATCCTGGCCCAGGGAGAAAAAAAGGGCAGGTGCCTTGGAATTAGGGGGAGAGGGCCCTTTGGTTTGCTAGGGGAAGCCTGGTTCTGATGAGGCTCAGAGCTTAGGGATGGACTGAAGAGCATTTGTCTGTGCCTTAGAAGAAAAGACTAGAAGAGGGAATTGGCAGGCTTTGCATGGCGGAGATCCGAGTGTTAGAAATAGGAGCCTCTAGAGAAGGCTTGGAGAAGCTGAAAGGCTGAGGTGGTGATGTCCTTGTCCCTTCTTAACCTCCACAGCCCTTACTTCACTCTGGCCTTCCCCACACCCTATCAGTCGGCGTGATGGGTGGGGCTTTCCAGTGTTCTCTGTCTTGCCCTGGGTACCAGGAAAAGGAAGCTGTTCAGAGGGCTGAAGTTCTTTGCAACTTGTGACTTGGATCTTAGAGACAGGAATGGACAGGTGGCTGGTTAAAATAGGCCTGATGGCCCCCAGCCAGAGGAACTTAGGTGACCTGACAACCCTTGGATTCCCTCATCCTCTATTCCCTTTAGGGACCCAAGGACCTTCCTTCTTGACTCCTAGTCAGTGTCCACTAAGGAATCTGAGGCTCTCAGTTACCAGCGGGATGGGAGTGGGGAGGGCTGTGCACTTCATTCAGTATAGCAGGATAATATCATAGTTAAGAGAGTAGGTTCTTGCATCAGACTGCGTGAGTGAAATCCTAGATTCACCACTTCATCGATTCTAATATTTCCTGACCACCCCTGTTACAGTGTTCTAGGAATACAGCCGTGATGGAGACAAGACTCACGCTCTCATAGAGTTTTCATTCAAATTGAGGGGACAAACAACTAAATAATTTCTAGCTGTGTGGCCTTAGGCAAAGTATTTAACCTCTTTAATCCTCAGTTTCTTTATTCTTAAAAACAAATATTATTATTATTGTTGTTTTGTTGTTGTTTGGAGAAATAAAATAATCCTAAGTCACTTACATTGTGCCCAACATATGGTAAATGTACAACATGTGCTACCTATTGTTCCTGAGGAAGATTTTCTTGCCAGGTGTTTTATTCTCTCTCTTGTTCTTAGGTAATTCAGTACCAAACTGTTCGATATGATATCCTTCCTTTATCTCCTGTGTCCCGGAATCGACTAGGTGAGTATGCTGGCTGGGAAGACTCTTTTAAGTTGAAATAGGGTTCAGGGTCTGACCTGGAGGTTGGTTGGTGTTATCCCTTCGTTGTGGTTTAGGCCAGGTGAAGAGGAAGATACTGGTGCTGGATCTGGATGAGACACTTATTCACTCCCATCATGATGGGGTCCTGAGGCCCACAGTCCGGCCTGGAACACCTCCTGACTTCATTCTCAAGGTGTGTGGGGGTGGAATGGTTATGTCTATCATTCTGCTTAGACTGGGACTCCCTTTCTCAATCTCAGAATGTGTCATCCCCAAACTCATCCCCTGGCATCCCTGGAGGGAAGCAGGCAGTGGGAAGGTGGGGAATGTCCTTTAGGCCTTCTTGTAGTTCTCAGGACTTCCCCAGTTTTTTTAGAGGTGGTAATAGACAAACATCCCGTCCGATTTTTTGTACATAAGAGACCCCATGTGGATTTCTTCTTAGAAGTGGTGAGTTTGTGAAAGCCAAAAGGAGCTCTGTGATGAAGGAATGGTTTTTAGGCTCTGAGATTTTAGAGGATTTGGAGGAAGTAAGGGGTGAGGAGATATGGGTAAGTGCAATTTTTGAGAGGGGAGGTTGTGGAATATTTGGAGAATGGCTTTTCATGATTTGGGTTCATTTGTTTTGCCGATACAATTCTATTCTTCCACAAGCTTCTTGCTCTTTTGTTCTTGCATTTCTGAATCTTAAGGGTATATGGTGTCTAAAACTCCTGAGTTTGGGGGCGTTCAGAATTTTGTGTCCTCAGACACATTTGATATTGCTGAAAGTCCTGAAGGACAAGGCTGGAATCCTAGTGAATGGGAACTATATATCTAAACAAATGATCACCTTTTCTGATACTTCTCTCTCCCCCTACCTATTTCAGGTGAGCCAGTGGTACGAGCTGGTAGTGTTCACAGCAAGCATGGAGATTTATGGCTCTGCTGTGGCAGATAAACTGGACAACAGCAGAAGCATTCTCAAGAGGAGATACTACAGACAGGTAAGGGGCTAGAATCTAAGTCTAAGAGTGAAGCTCAGGAGGCAGGCTACCAGGGAGTGATTTTAGTTTGAGGCAATTGCCCTGGAATGGGAACTTCTGGGCTTGTAGGGGAGGTATACTGCACAATCCCTTTTGTGGGAGTTGGCTGCTCATGGTGTTGGGATTGGGGAGACAGTCACAGAGGGGTGAGTCTCCTTTTGATGCCCAGCATACCCTGCCTTCCAGCACTGCACTTTGGAATTGGGCAGCTACATCAAGGACCTCTCTGTGGTCCACAGTGACCTCTCCAGCATTGTGATCCTGGATAACTCCCCAGGGGCTTATAGGAGCCATCCAGGTATGGGGGAAGGTGGTGAGTCTGGCATGACCAGGAAGTGGTTCTGAGGAGGTATTTTGAATACATAGAGCTGGGATGCTTTCATTTACTGTAGGTCAGGATGCAAGCTGTTTCTCTTTTAACTGAGACCTTCCCTCCCCCACATGTCCATTTCATAAATCAGATTTCTCATAGCAGATTTGCTCCAGCTGATACAATGGCAATAAATTTGACTAGAAGCCTCACACTAGTATGAGATACAGTGATTGACAATTTTATTTTGGAAGTTAAATCAGGAAGGTTTTTATCTAAGTTACTGAGTTTTGGTGGGGGATGGTGATGAGGTATATATTTTAATGATCCCTACTCCCAAAGAAAAGAAAAAAATACCCTGTCTCTCTTGAATCCTTTCTTATATGCATTTTTTCACTCAACCTAGATAATGCCATCCCTATCAAATCCTGGTTCAGTGACCCCAGTGACACTGCCCTTCTCAACCTGCTTCCCATGCTGGATGCCCTCAGGTAAGGGAAGCTAGACACTTAGATTTCTGAGGATCAAGGAGGAGGTGGGGGAATCCCAAGGGAGAATAAAAGTTTGTCCTGTTTTACTTATTTATTTCTCTTCCCTTAAGAATTTGGCATTTGAACCCATGTCTTCTTACACTAAAAGGTCATTACTTTTAGCCACTGGGTTTTGGGCAAACTGAACATCATGTGAAAATGGTGATCATTTCTGCCCTACGACTCTAGTGAGGCTGCCTCACACTAGTGTTGTGGGGCTATCAACTATGAGGACTCTACCAATGCAAGTTATTGTCATCCCAGGTTCACCGCTGATGTTCGTTCTGTGCTGAGCCGAAACCTTCACCAACATAGGCTCTGGTGACAGCTGCTCCCCCTCCACCTGAGTTGGGGTGGGGGGGAAAGGGAGGGTGAGCCCTTGGGATGCAGTCTGATGCCCTGTCCAATGGTGAGGACTGCCTGGGCAGGGTCTGCCCCTCCCTCCCCTCTCTGCCCTGGGAGCCCTGCACTCCATATGGAGTCTGGATGGACACATGGGCCAGACTCTGAAGCAGCCTCACTCTAACTTCGTGTTTGAACTCCCTGGAAACCCCAGACTGGGACATAAGCGGAGGCTTAAGAGAGCCGAAACAGTGTCTGTGGTGGAGAGACAGGACTGGCCAGTGAGAAAGACGTTCGGTAATCTGGGAGGCTGAGAGAGAAGCCAAGCCAGCTTTGTTGTGATTTGATTTTTTAAAAACTCTTGTACAAAACTGATCTAATTCTTCACTCCAAGGGCTGGGCTGTGGGTGGGATACTGGGATTTGGGCCACTGGATTTTCCCCAAACTTGTCCCCCCATTTTCCTTTTTTTCCCAGATTCCATCAGACCTGTAACCAGCTTCCTCTTTTTTTTTTTCCCTCTCTTAAACCATGCATTATAACTTTGAAACCAAAGCTGCCCTAGGTCCTTCTCTGGGGTTCTGGGAAATAAGGGAGGGATCTTTGTTCACATCCATCTTGTCCCCTAGATAGACGGGAGAGACTGCTATTTGGCCCGTGGGGTAGGAGGATAAGATGGTGTTGGCTTGTTAGGGATGGACTAGTGAACATCGACGTCACATGCTTTGGCATGAAGGGTCTTAGTGACAGAGTGGGCGACCCTGCGGATAGTGAAAGTATAGCTACATGTCCTGAGGGAACTTGAGCTTGAGAGCAGTAGGGCACATAAGTATGATAGAAGGAACCTGTATGCCAGAAAAGACAAATAGCTGGAGAAACGCCGGGCTGGGGGGTACCCACATAGTCAAGCTAGGCCGGCGCTGCCCCGCGGCGGCCAGGCCAACGTTCCTCCGAGCTCCAGCTGCGGCGAGCTCCACCTTCCCGAAGCCGGCTCTATTTCCTCGCATCTGCCACGTGACGATCCGCCCTTCTCTGAGATCACATGATTTCTTTGACGAAAATAATTGTATTCTTCCGCGCTGACATAGTCCCTAACCTTTCGGACCTTTACAGTCCTTATTGGTCCACTCATACCTGGTACCCAAGCGTTCTGTGCGTCTGTCCAAACATATATTTAGTTTCTGCCCTCCTTTATTGCCGAAGACCACCTCTTCCGCTTGGGCACTACTTTGTTTTGGTGTCAACGGCCGCCTTCAGCGTACCAACACGTTTTGTGAATAGCTACCTTTGTAATTATCTTCAATTTTTATTTTGTACGTTATGTCTGAAAAGAGTTTTTAGAGAACTGAGGGTCATTATGATTACTATCTCCTAGCTTCTTTTCACCCCCAGCTTCGTGGGGGAAAGTCGAAAAATGAGTTTTCGGTTATTTTCGACAGTACCAAAAGCCAACTACATTTGCTACGATTCCTGCGTAGCCCACAAGTTGATTCCAAAGCAATTACGCTGATGGCGTGGCGGGGTGGTGGCGGTCAGGGAGGCTGCGCTAGTGGAGTAATGTAGCAGGAGGGGCGGCCCTTGATGGGCGAGGGCGGGGTTGGTGAATACGGAAGTGGCGCAAGTCCTGGGATCGCTCCGCTGAATCCGCCCGCGCGTCGCTGTCGTCGCCGCTGCCCCAAGTCCCGGCCCCCCCTCCCCCCCGGGTTCCCTCAGCCCAGCCCGGTCCAACCTGGTTCCCGGGAGGATGAAGTTCGTATATAAAGAGGAGCATCCGTTCGAGAAGCGCCGCTCTGAGGGCGAGAAGATCCGAAAGAAATACCCGGACCGGGTCCCGGTAAGGACAGCGGCCAGGGCAGAGGGTGTGGGGCGCTGGCGCTGGCGCTGACTCCGACGCGACAGCCTGAGCTTGGGTCCGGGACAGGCAGCATGGGCATCTGGCTGCCGGCTGTGGCGGGGTTGAGAACAAGCCTGAAACTGCTGTCTCGGGGACCGGAGGTGAAAGGAGTGGGGTAGCAGTGGTAGCTGGGGTGAGGGAGTGTAGGTGGGAGAGCTAGACCTTGTGATTCGGGAGGCTGTAGGGAGTTTGACAGTCTGAGTGTCACATGGTCTCCACCCCTCCCCCCCTCCCCCCTCCCCCCCGAGCCTGCTAGCTAGGTTTTTGAGATTGAAGCTATAGTCGACCTAGACAAGTCATCTCCGTGGAATTAAGATAGTTTATTGTGACGCCCCTAATTCAGGCATCTGGATATTTAGGTGAGTTGAGTCAATGGGGTCAGAGTCTTTGCTCAGGGCTGCACCGAGTGTTTGGAGACAAAGAGAAATGAGTCTGGGGTAGGTGGGGTGCTGGAAATATTGTCTCTTAAATTCCTGACAGGTGGAGCTGTGGGGCTGTACACCTAATGTCTCCTGATTTTAATATTCCCTTTATCAGGTGATAGTAGAAAAGGCTCCCAAAGCTCGAATAGGAGATCTGGACAAAAAGAAATACCTGGTGCCTTCTGATCTCACAGGTGGGAACCTGAATCACTACCTAGGTTTGCTTCCTGGGGTGGGAGAGCAATCTCTGTGGGAGGAGGCTCCACACAGCAGCTCTTCTTTTGAGAGCATTTGTGGTATCTGTGAATTTATCACCCCTTGTATTTTGGGCAGTTGGTCAGTTCTACTTCTTGATCCGGAAGCGAATTCATCTTCGAGCTGAGGATGCCCTGTTTTTCTTTGTCAACAATGTCATTCCACCCACCAGTGCCACGATGGGTCAGCTCTACCAGGTACGGTGACTGGGAAGTAGTGAAGGCTTTGGAGAGGAGTTGGAACAGCTTGAGGGGAAGAAAGTTTTAGGTCAGTAGTTCTTGGAGTAGCTGGCTTGCTTAGCTCTCAATTTTATCTTTGGCCTTAATATTTTTGATAGTCCTGGTTTTTAGAGAGGGTAGTGGTAGTAAAGAGAAGGGAAGGAACAGTGAGCTGGAGCTACGGTTCTGACTCAGACCCTTTCTAAGGTGACAGAGAACGATTTGAGATCTTTTTTGCCCAGAGCTGCTGCTAGGGATAATCCTGCTAGGTTGCTAGGGCCTGGAGCAAGTGAGGAAGACAATCGGGCCACTAGTTTTGGGGAAGTCTTCAAAAAGAATGATTTTTGAAGAATGTGTTTGGGTAGCAGGTGGTAAGTAACTAAAACCAGGGCCTGAGCACCATCATTTTCTGTTTTCATTCCAGGAACACCATGAAGAAGACTTCTTTCTATACATTGCATACAGTGATGAAAGTGTCTATGGTCTGTGAAGCTGCTGCCCCTTCAGTGGGGGGTCCCATTCTGCAAAGAAAGAGGTGGCCCCCCTTCCTTGCCCTCTTCCTTCTTCAGGCTCAAACACCACCGCCCTTCAGGACCTGCACTTCCTAATGTTTGAGGCTCTTCACCAGACCCTTGTAGCAGGAGTGTTAATGGGGAAGATGGCCTTTAGTACCTCTCCTTTTTCCTTTCTCCCCCTTTCTCTACCACCTTTCCCATTCTGCTTTAGACTTGATTGTCAATCTCTGTCTCATCCAGTGATTGTTTTGGTTTCTGTTCCCTTTCTCACTGCCCAAGGGGCTCAGAACCCCAACAATCATTTCCTTTCACTACCTTTTTTTGGGGGTAGATGGAAGGGACTGAAATTGGGGAGGGAGGAAGGTTGGAAGTACATCAATAAAGAGGAAACCACCAAGCTGAACTGGATTTTGCTTTGTGTTCCTATCCTCCCCCTTTTGTTTAGTTGTCAGTGGTGGGGAAAGAGGTTGGAGGGATAGTAATATATTGGTTTATTATGTTGATGTTGTTTTTCCTTTTGCATAAAAAGGGTGCTTTTGTTATGATAGATGGGTTACTCTGAGTATTGTTTCTTGAAACTTTAGTTTTATATACGTGTGTATTGGGTCCTTATGTAAAGAATAACAATGTGGGTTCGTGTGGAGAAAGTATGAAAGTACCTGCTTTATAAACATCCAAGCTTATTACAACCTTTTGGATTAAGGAAGAGGTGTTCGTGTGTGGAGGCTGGTAAAAGGACTGTCCTTAGTTGCATGTCACTTGGCTAGTGGAATGGAATCCAAGGGAGGGAGAAGACTGGGAGGAGGGAACCATTAGCACCAGGATAACTTCATCTCCCAGCAACCACTTCGGCCGGAAGTGGGGAGATCTCCCTGGGGAGAAAGACGCTGTAGAATGAGGCAGTATGGTGGCCGAGAGTTCTAATACCGCTTTCTCCTCCTTTCTTAGTCCCTCTAAGCCTACATTTCCCAGGAGCCTGCG